TGGAGCATGACTCATAGATTCTGCAATTTTGGTTGTGTTACCACTGATCTTATTTTATACTTGTGTCAGCTATTGTAACAAAGAAAATGATTTTTCTATAACCAGTGACCCAGGCATAAAAAAGAATTACATATGGGACCAGTGCCAATACCATTTCAGAGGCTCAGTTTGATGATCAGCTCTGGGCCTCTTCTCATTCTTTCAAATGTATTATTCTCATATTTCCTTAGCACTCACACTATAGTGTTTTTACAAAACAAATCCTCAGTATACTGAACTATACCTAAATGATGTGTAGCAACATTAAATTATTTTATGTAATTGGAGTCACTGATCATTTATTTAACCGTTTTTTCCACTCTAAGAAAAATGTCTCCTGTATTTTTTATTTATTTTTTTTTGCTAGATCATTTCCCGGTCCTGGCCCTCTGCAAAAACAAAGTTAAATGGAGTGTGGAAAAAGGCCCGGCCGCTGCTAATGACTAATTTGCTTTCTTTCCAACTGCATCCCCCATTTCAACGTACTTAACTACAAACAATCCATTAAGAAGGTCTAAAATATTTAGAAAATGGTCAAACAAATCAATGATTGAATCTGTTTAGGCCATCCATTAAAATTCTTTTCAGGGAGCATTTGTGTAATGGGGAAACTAACGATAATGTTCTGTCAACAACATGACTTAATCACAGAGAAATAAATGTCAGTCAGAATCGTTCCATCACACACCTGTTCATTACTGGTTGAATAAATTAAGCCAACATAAAGTGCAACTCCAGTAAAGTTCTCCTGCTCTGGAAATCATTTGATCTCTGAACACAATGCATTATGTATGCGATAAAGAAATAAAAATATTTAAAACTGCATACTGGGAGTATGAGCTGCTATCTACCAATTAGCAGGTAGGTGGTTCGATCACACCATTCCCACTTCATATTTTAAGTTATTTCTTGTCTAATTCCTGTACTATACATTGCTAATTTATGCACTTGTGTGAACAGTTTCTCCTACTAAATAATATTATTTACAGTATCAACTCTTGGAGGCATAATACCTTAGCAAAATGAACAAATATAAACTACAAGTCATAAGCAGAATTTTGATGAAAGTAAAAGCCTGGCATGTCTTACATGAAAACATGCGGTTGTAGACACACAAAGAGAGAACAAAATAAATATGTTTTAATTAAACATGCAGCCGCATGTTTGGCATATTGTTTTAACCAAAAATAACTAGTTGTATATCCACAATAATGATGCCACAAGACTAAAGCTTGTCTCTAATGAATAATCCATTACTGTTTGATGATTAGCATCAGTACTACTATCCCAGACTCACCAAACAAATATTAATTTACTGTTGTTCCAAAAAATACTTTTAATACAACACAAATTCACTGTAGTATTGTTTTGATACGTTCTTGTGACTTATCAAAACAGCTGGTTTGTGGCTGACTTTATTCTTTGGGCACATAATGTTTCTGACCCTAGATCTAACCAACTGCAGTAACTACAGATAATATTATTGTCCCTACCGGCTTGTGCACTAAACATGATGAACGCATTATTTCTTACCCTGATCAGGCCATCACTATGAAACAAGGTAAATCTGGACTCATCAGTGACTCAGATCTAGGCTCGTAAAATCCAGCCCCTTGTCTGGGCTCTATACGAAGCCCAGACCCTCGATGAGAAATGACAACATTTTCTGAGATGTTATTGGTGGAAAATGATGCACAAAAAGAATAAAGTTTCCAACCGAATGAGAAGAAAAATATATCTAAAAAAAACTATTACTGTTACTTTTAGTGTCGTTTTAGTTTTGTGGAAATTTAATGCAATTATTATATGGCAAGCTGCTAAAACCTGCATTTGTTATAATAAAATGTTTTTTTAATTATTATTATTTCAGAAGTGTAGGTTGCAGATTTCTGGTCTATGGAAACTTACTGGGTTTGATCTCTTGCTTGTTGTAGAAAAATCCCCTCAGTTACAAGTTCACCCTGCCAAGTCCTTTACTTTATGTTTTTTCATTCATTAATTCTAAAACCTTTACAAGATCTATATCATACTAAGTGCTACTTACATAAAAATTTGTCAAATAAGTTATTTTACTTCAGTTTCCAGACCAACTAATCAGCATTTTCAAGTAGTAGCGCTTTCTGAAAAATAAGTTATAGTGTTTAGTTTGTCACCTTCTGAGGATTTAATAAGGCATCACAATACTTTGAGCAAAATGCTAATGTCATGCAGGCAATTGGTTGTTACACTGTTCATCCTGCTGTTAACATGATTGTGTCCTTTCAGTAGTTTCTTTCAGTATCTGCCTAAGTGACAAAAAGCCACACGGTGCTTGATACACGGTATTTAAGTGTCCAGTCTTAATGAGTTTCTCAGTTTGAACTTTTTATATTATGATTACTATTATTTCATGACGTAATAGGGATCCTTTTTCATCTTTTGTTTTAGTCAAACTTGTAACTGAGTGTTAAGATAATTAAATGTATTTCTTTGAAACACGTGTCAAGTCTTTGTGCCAGAGACTTCTAATTTTCAAGTATCAGTTTTAAATAGTAGCCATTGCACCAGTTCCCTCATTAAGTTCCCGTATTAAATTATGAGGGATTATTATTGGAGATGATGATTTAATAGACAGTGGCAGGAAGACTATTATTTCTTGTAAGTTTTACTTTTCTCTGTAAATCAGGATTAATAAAAGCTGTGATTTTGTAGTAGATCATAATTAGTAGAGTTTTCATAGAAAAAACATTTTTGCTTTCATTTGCACATTTAACAAAATAATTTTCGTCAAATATAGAGAAACAGCTATTTTGTAACCGTACTTATCGTAACTGCATAGTCATCAATTTAACAAAAGCTGCAAAAAGTCAGCAAATAAGAGGAAAGCAAAACAAAGCAATTGTTGCTAAGTAATTAGCAGACAATTGTACTGAGCCAACATATCAAATAGATTATCAGAGAAATATGAACATTTTTACAGCTTCCACATTTTTCTTATTACAGATAATCAAAACTCTCTTTTGTTTCTTTTGATCAATAAAGATTTGAAAAGCCAAGAAAAAAAAAATTTTAGTGTGTTTTTACATTTAAAGTAGTAACACAACTTCTTGCAAAATCAGCACTGAATGTTGTCTCTGATCATAACAAATGGTTCACAAAAAAATGCATCAAAACAGTCTGACTGAATATTAAATGGTTGATAGTGTATATTACTTTGTTCATACAAACCAGATTCCAAAAAAGTTGGGACACTAAAACTGTGAATAAAAACTGAATGCAATGATGTGGAGGTGCCAACATCTAATATTTTATTCACAATGGAACACAAATCACAGATCCAAAGTTTAAACTGAGAGAATGTATCATTTTAATACAGGCCTCTAACTGTTCAATCGTCTTGGGCCTTCTTTGTCGCACCTTCCTCTTTATGATGCACCAAATGTTCTCTATAGGTGAAAGATCTGGACTTTCTGGACAGGCTGGACATTTCAGTACCTGGATCCTTCTCCTACGTACCCATGATGTTGTGATTGCTGCAGAATGTGGTCTGGCATTATCTTGTTGAAAAATGCAGGGTCTTTCCTGAAAGAGATGAAGTCTAGATGGGAGCATATGTTGTTGTAGAACCTGAACATAGTTCTCTGCATTAATGCTGCCTTTCCAGACATGCAAGCTGCCCAGGCCACCAGCTCACATGCAACCCCAGACCATCAGTGATGCAGCTTCTGAACGGAGCGTTGATAACTTGGGTTATCCTTGTCCTCTCTGGTCCGGATGACATGGCGTCCCAGTCTTCCATAAAGAACTTTAAATCGTGACTCATCTGACCACAGAACAGTCGTCCATTTTGCCTCACTCCATTTTAAATGACTCCTGGCCCAGTGCAAACGGCTGAGCTTGTGGAGCTTGCTTAGAAATGGCTTCTTCTTTGCACTGTAGAATTTCAGCTGGCAGCAGCGGATGGCACGGTGGATTGTGTTCACTGACAATGCTTTCTGGAAGTATTCCTGAGCCCATACTGTTGTTTCCTTGACATTGGTATTCCTGTTTGAGGTGCAGTGACGTTTAAGGGCCCGGAGATCACGAGCATCCAGTAGAGTTTTACGGCCTTGACCCTTACGCACAGCGATTGTTCCAAATTCTCTGAATCTTTTGATGATGTTATGCACGGTTGATGATGATAACTTAAAAGTCTTTGTCATTTTACGCTGGGTAACACCATTCTGGTATTGCTGCACTATCTTTCTGTGCAACAATGGTGGAATTGGTGATCCTCTTACCATCTTGGCTTCAGAGAGACACTGACACTCTAAGAAGCTCTTTTTATACCCAATCATGTTGTCAATTGACCTAATTAGTGTTAATTGGTCTTCCAGCTGTTTGTTATATGTTCAATTTCCTTTTTCCAGCCACTTATTGCTACTTGTCCCAACTTTTTTGGGATTTGTAGACATTGTAAAATTTTGAATCAACATATTTTTCCTTTCAAATGTTACATTTACTCAGATTAAACTTTTGATCTGCGATCTATGTTCTATTACAAATAAAATATTGACATTTGCTATCTCCACATCATTGCATTCAGTTTTTATTCACAATTTGTTTAGTGTCCCAACTTTTTCGGAATCTGGTTTGTACTTGAAGTACAAGCAAAATATGTGCAGTCGGCCTGCTTTTCTAGTAATGCAGGTAACAAAGCTACGGCAGAACATTTAAGCAGGATGAAAACAATCCCACAGATCAAAATTTACCTTGCAGCAACAAGCAATCCTAACCCCTGAACCTGTAAGTCACCGAATTTCAGATATCAGGCACAGGATCAAAAATATAAATACATCGTGAGCGAAATGATTAAACAGTCATGTGTCAAAGAAGTTACCAGGACCAATGCTAAACATAAAGAAGTGAAGTGAGTTGGGCAGGTTGATTAAAACAGAAGAGTGATGACTTTGTGAAATCAAGAAGAGGAATGGAAAGCTTACACTGTGTTGCATTGTCTTCCAGACAGCCCTCTGGGAGCAGCAGAGAAATGAAGAAGAAAGAGATTTAATTGGACATTGGAGAAACAGAGAGAGTGAGAGTGAGAATTGGAGCAAAAGAATGTCTATTAGTTAGCGAAGCAAAAAGTTAAATGATAAATGGAGCTGCTGAAATATTCTATTCACCAGCCTATGAGATTTAGTACTTCGAACCATTTGATTCACAATGACTTCCAGTGAGGCACTGTGAAATCTTTTAAAAATCTTTTACTTCCAGATCAATGCTTAAATCAAGACCTGCATAAAAATCTACGTCTGAAGTGGAAAAATGTGTCTGAAGTTGTTTGAAAGCAGAAGTTTTCGTGTTTGTTTGTTTTTTAATTAGAAGAGCTTTTCAAAATTGACAAACTTATCATATTGTTATATTCAATTAATTAAAATATGCATTTTGATAAAACGCATATTTAAATGCATCAGTTTAAAAGTACCTTTTGGCAACTTTTAAACAGGTTTTAAATCTACTTTTCATTAATGCTACATTTAAGAAACTTTTTTCTAAAAATTGATCTGATGTCATATTCCAATTTTAAATGTCAGGTTTTTCATTAACTGTAATCAGAAAATCTTCATGTCAGAAATGCTTTCTAACATCTGTGTATAATTCATTTACATGATGTTTCACTTAGTGATAATATTCCTATAATAGAGTTTTCAATATCGTTTTAATTTATTTAGTGGATCTGTACATGTAGGTTCATATGACATATAATGTGTGATATATAATGAATATATATTTCTTACATTTACACAAGGTACAGATTTATAGAAAACTAGTCTTACTCTAAGCAAAGCACTGATTTACAGAAAACTCAGATCTTTGACAAGCAGAAGTACAAATGCATGTAGTAATGCATTATTAAAACTGGAATAACTCAGAGAATTTCTCTAAAAGCACAGATACCTTTCACCTTCTTTTTGATCTTTATGTCTTGAAGCAAGTAAGAGGATTTAGTTATATTTCTTAAGCTGGGGCTGTTTGCAAAGATACATATAATTCAAAAATAATATTATAAGGGATCTGCCCTGTTATACACATTTAACTTTGTAATTTCATTAGAATTTTATATCAATAAGTGCTGATAAAAACTAACACTAAACTCTGCAGCATTTAATAGCTGTTGTGATGCTGCATATTTTTCCATTTTAATAATTTTCAACTGATTCTGCAGCACAAGTTTAATGTCTGTACCTTTTAGTCAAAGGTGTGATGATGTTTTTAACAGATGGATTTCCCAGTTAGACGGTTAGGTAAAGAAGTATTTGAGGCATGGATGATCCAAAGGACAATTGTAATAAAATGAGACGCATGTCTGACTAAAATCCTTTCAGCACCTTTACAAGTTGCTAACTTTTATATATTAAAAATATGTTGGGAAAGAATGCTTAAATACAGTATACCACTGCCTTTATTTAGGTTACTTGGTTTCATTACAAAATTAAATCTATAAAAGTATTTAACAACTACAACATCACACAGTGCAAGTGACCGAGTTGCAACTTTTGCAACTCAGTCACCCAGATTTTAAATCAATTTTTTTGTGAATATCTTCTACAAAAAGCAAAACAACAAAATTTCTAGGTGAAGGCATACCCTGCGTTTGGAAATGGATACACATATTAAATTATTAAACAGTAAGTGTGGCCTCAGTGGTTTCATATACAATAAAAAATACATTTTAAACCACATGTGTAGATTTATTTTTGCTTTATATTCAAGCACCATTGTGAGTTTACCACAACTCCTGGAAGGGAGTATATATATAAATATTTTACATTACTCGGAGTGCAGCAGTGGTAGAAGTCACACTGTACCTGGGAGCTCCATGAACTACATGAACATTCCTCTATTTTTTTTCTGGCCTTTGGACTTGCATCCCAGTTAGTCGACCTTAAGCTCAGCATGCCTTCACCAAGTTTGCCTCTGCCAATGATATTTCCAAAAAAAGGAAACGTCTCCTCTGAAGAGCTCTGGAAATCAGTTTAGCTGTCAAAATATGTAAGAACGACTGAATATCCTGAAGTTCTTGACAATTTACGTCAAATATCTTTAAAAATATGTTTATATTTTAAATACTCTGGCTTTTATACAATTAGTAACATATTTAGTTTTTGCATATCATACCAATATATACATATATTTTTAATGTTTTATATGACACATTTTAGTGTCATTATGTGATTAAGGTGGATTTTAACATGTACAAACGCTCTTTACTCTGTCTTATCTTTCTACATACCAGTCTATCCAGGCTTGTTCCAGCTGCTGTGGTCGGTCTCTGTTCGGGGGTAAAGGGTCTAAAGCGACTACTAAATACATCTGAGATGCCCCGTGCAGACCTGCCTATTGCTGAAGGCTTTGGTTGACCACACTCTTGAAAAACCTAAAATAGAGCAAGGACAAACACAGTTACCATACAGAAAGGACTGGAAGTGTGAAAAACAGAAAGCTCTGTTTGCATCTGAAAACAGAAAACTGCTCAGTTAACAGCATCTCTCAACATAATTGTCAAATAAAATTGTTTATTTTTTTCCTACATTGCCAAACAACACATCTGTATGTCACAAAGCCAGATGTGTCGGAGCAAAATGCAACACCCTTTGCAAAATGAACAAGAATCTCTCAAATATATATATATATATATATATATATATATATATATATATATATATATATATATATATATATATTTTTTTTTTTTTTTTTTTTTTTTTTTTTTTTCAAAAAAAAACCAAAATTTAAAATTTTTTCCACCCAATTTTGGGGTGG